ATCAAATTAAATTTAGTTAAATTTATCAATCCGTATATTCTATTGTACATAGGGACTAAAATGTTTGCGTTTTTTTTTTACAAAAATTATCAACTTGTTTGTCATTCGCAGTTCTTGATACTTTTAATTTACGTAGGATTTGAAAGAAATAATAATGAATTTTTGTAGGTGATATATGTAAAACGTAAGAGTTAGGCAGATACACTTTTTGAAAAAACATTTTTTTAACGTTCGATATTCGATAGATAACAGTCTATCGCTTGAAGCGAGACCCACATATGTGTCTACATATTGCGTACAGTAAAAAATAAAAGAGATTCCTATTCCAATTTTGAGTGCAAAATCGAATCAAATCCAATCAAACCTTACACGTGCTCGTTTTTGACAAGAATCGAAACGTGTCGGGGTAATAACTACAAAAAATGCAGTAGCTGTGTTTTATATATATATATATTTGGCGACATGAAAATAAAAGTGAAGAGATTAAAAAAAATAGATGGAAAAAATAAGAAAACTTTTCCAAGTAATTTTTCTGATTCTGCTGTTACACTTTGAACGGCGTGGACTGCGTTTCTTATGGCCGGGCTTTTAAATGGCGTTTAAAGGTCGTTAGTCATGAATCTATCAACGAGACGGCGCGTATAAAGGCATCTCGTTCATTCAAACAGATTCGCGAGCAATAGCAGTGACAAACGTTCGTGATTGGTAATCGTGATCTTCAAGGAAAACACGCACTCGTCTTCGCTTTGATTAACGGTCTGTGCATTTTGTATACCGATATTAGATTCTCGAGTACCAGCGATCTGCTAGGCTTTACAATGAAGCTACCGCGAATATCAACTTCCACAGTCTCTGAGAGTTTGCTCGAGGTGTTCAAATTGCATCCGAAAGTTCTCGCGCCTAATCAGGTTCATTCGCGTTAATTGATTCCTATGGAGAAAGCAACATGAGCTTAAGCTAAAATTTAAATTACGTATAGGATAGACGCTGCACTGAATGATCGTCTAAGCCCTTTTTCTACCAATGTAAGTTAACTTTCATTTTGATTTAACTTACTTTTTATCTTTTTTTTATATAATTCTTAGTATTAGACGAGGATGAAGAGTAAATTAAACCGAGATTAAAGTTAATATTGATAGAAATAGGCATAAACCTGCAGTGATAAATGCGCAATCTGCCGGTTCATAGTCAAAAATATAAAATTATATTCTTTATTTTATGCAAACGAAATAAATATTATGCGGTCCGTAAAATTTTATCTATTATATTTCTAAATAACTAATGGCCTTTTGAAAATGACTCTTAAAAATGATGTGCATCACTGATTGAAAGAATGTTGCTAGAATTAGCCTTTTCAAATTTTGTTGTAAGACAAGAATATTATTTTGCATATTTATATAATAAAAAAATCAAATAAATATTAATCTTGCATTATCGATTTTAGTAATGGATAATTTATTGTTTACTATTTCGTTCATGATATTGATCTCTCGCGATGATCTACAACACGATACAATTTACGTGACACGGACGACATATTGATCGTCTTCAGATAACGCGTTATGAGTACATCAGTATATGACACGCATCACTGTAAACATATA